ATTTTGCGTCCGCCCGTCCAAGCATCCTTGTTGTAAACACGATATCTCGAAATTAAATTTGAGTCAGTTCAATTCGCCTTGGGTGCTGCGACCCTGCCAAACTTGTCTCAAGTCTTTTTCAGTGTGCTGCTTTACGTTTCTAAGTCTTTTGAAAAGGATGCCCTTTATGTCTATTTTTTTTAATGCTGCCGTACTTGTCTTAATTTTCCCCCTACATGCTGTCATATATTGGACCTCTTTGACGAGTTCAATTTCATTCATTTACTCATTAGGGAGAGTTACGGCCGCCATTATTTCCCTGTGTAGGGTGCCGGCCGCCTGGAGGACCTGGATCATACTGGATCTTGTATGATCTTTAAACAATTGTATTATTCTTAGCTGATAGGTAATTGATTGAAATCAATTGAAGTGTGAATATTCCAGACTGTTTCCAGGGATATACTCTGGGCCGGGTAGCTCTGGTGAGTCTCTGTCGAACAATGCTGTGGTATTGGTTTTACACTGGATTGTATTTTAATTAACTTTATTGAATTATAAATAATCAATAATGATCAGTATATTGTATAGATTGGCCAAGTAACTCGGAGAAGTCTCAGTGGCTTAACGTCATGTATGAAGTGATATATTGCGTTGTATCGTATCGTCATCGTCTTAAGAGAATCGGGCCAGGAGTGATGAAATGTTTCTCTTAATGTTAGGCTCCAGTTGCAGTCGAGGCTGTGGATTCTGCATGACACATGACACCCACGGCATCTTCGGGCATCTTTATAATGGCAGGCCACACACGGCTATCGTAGACAGCTGTCATGTAGCCTTATCAAGACCCCCAAGAAGGATACATATTCAAACATCTTGCGGACTGTTGGTTGGTTAACTGTCTGTCTGTCTGTCTTGTCTGGCTGGCTGTCTTGTCTGGTTGGCTGTTCGTTTGTTTATTTTGTCTGGCTGGCTGCATATGTGTCTGTATCTGGCTGGCTGGCTGGGAGGAGCATTGTCAGGGGTGTAATGGCTTAAAAGGTTTTTGTGAAGAAGGTGGTTTGGGTAGGAAGTGTGTTGTCCTGGGCTGTCTGTAGAGAGTCACACCTTGTGATTATGAATACAGGGGAAAAGGTACGAGACAGACAGACAGACAGAGAGACAGAGACAGAGAATCATTCTAACCCTGAAAAAAATACGTAATTAATTCCTCTCTAATGGTGTCATAAGTTGAACAAAAAGTAAATGTTCTTGAGATTACACCTGTCATTCCCCCATCTTTTCAGGCCTAGTCTCGTTATTATGCAGGGTAACTTTTATTTTTGTTTTTTTGAGGGGGGGGGGGGCTGTATTTAATAAAAAAATCACGCATTTCACGTTTCCATTAGCAAGTTAACAACAGAACTCCGTCGTTTTTTTTAATGCATTACCATGATTATTTTATAGACCCTTATATTTTAGGTCTTTAGTTATACACAATATATTATACTGTATGAGGATGTCCGTCCATTTGTATGTGCAGGGGTCACAGGATATGAATGTAGTTCCTATTAATCAGGTTTACAGATGGATCACCTTCAAGTATGTATTTGTGTGGATGACCTTAATATTAAACTACTACTCCTAAGGTCTACAAAAATCAACGTAGAGATTTTCGTGGTGTTGTCTGGCGCCATCTCTCGGTCCATGGTAGGTATTTAAGAATATGTTTATATTCAGCTACATAATCCCTTTCAGTACCCCCCCCCCACCCTTCCCTCCCAGAGTACATTGAATTAGCCCATTGAGTAGGATATCTTAATCCCTCGAGGACGATGTGATAATCCCCTGAATTCGATAACCAGTTCACTTGAGTTTGATAACATTGTACTCAGGGGATTGAGTCTTAGTAACCTTCCCAAATGGTAAATTTCGAGTTGTATTGTCGCTAAATTTTTTTCCCCCGAGTGTATTATGCAAATATGTACGGTACAGGGCTGTGTATTTGTATACTTATGTGTGTGTGTGTGTTAGGGAGGACCGTGCATTAGTATTCTGTATATATATGCGTGTGGGTGTGCTTGTGGTTTTGCATTTCTATATTTTCGAATGTGACTGACGGCCTTGTGTGTGTGTGTGTGTGTGTGTGTGTGTGTGTGTGTGTATGTATGTGTGTGTCGTCTCTCACACTGTAGGATCACGGGGTAAACCTTGGCTCCCTCTCCACCTGTACGTCAGTGTTAAAGGGTCCTCTTGGAAGTTCATACACCTGGGAAATTAATTCACGAGTACCATTGCAGAACAGAGAGAGAGAGAGAGAGAGAGAGAGAGAGAGAGTACCTGGCTAATGTATCTCCTCTTCTCCGCTGTTAAATCGCTAAGGTGTAGGACTTACAACCACTACAGAATCACCTTTATGTATTTTACTATTATCCTTGTTGTCGTTGTCTTTGTTGATTGGTGGTTAAGTTTTTTATTTGGTTTTCTTTGTTTGTAATATTGTCGTTGTTGATAATGTAGTCATTTTTGTTGATAGGTGTTGTTCTCGTTATTGATATTTAATTTATTTACTTTATTTTTGTTGTTGTTGTTGTCGTAGCCAGATCCTGAGTCCATAGGTGTGTTAAGATAGTTTCTGGCCTGAGGTTGATGGGCGTGTAGCACCGATACCCATTTTTACCGATACCCGATTACTCCTTTAGTCAAGAAGAAGGAGAAGGGGAGGAAGATAAACAGTGATCAACAGCGAAAAACTTCATTGGTTCGATAGGTCCTCCTACAGCTATGAGGTCGAGGTTTAATGGCATCTGAAGTGAGCTGTGCTAATTGAGTGTTACTCTTTATTGGCTTTATAACCTGAGTCGGGCTTGTTGCGTACAAGATCCACTCGTATGTGGGTAAAGCTGGTCGCTGATTGGTTCATACACGACCGTGATGTCAACTTGTGTCCGTCCCACTCTCTGGTAAAGTAAGATTTTCTGTTAGGTTAGGTTAGATAGGCTACGATAGGTGTAGGTTGATTAGTTAGTTGAGGTATTGTGGTCGATGGGTACGGCTCTTGTCTCTTGACCTGAGGGTCGCGAGTTCAATCCGTCATCCCAACACACACACACACTCAGCTTTTTTTTCTCTCTCTCTCTCAGCATAGTTATTTTAGGAGAAATGAGTGAGTGTAACCTAAAAAAAAAATCTTCATTATTTGTGAATATCAGTTCTGAATTTTAACTTGTGTAACTATGACGTTCTGAAGGGGCTCTCAGTATCAGCTCACACGAGTGGTTATATTTGTGATCTGTCAACTTTAAGTTCTGCTCGGAGAGGGAGGGAGAGAGAGAGAGAGGTAGTGTATTGAGTGTGTGTGTGTAAGATAAGGAGAGAGAAAGTGTGTGTGTGTGTGTGTGTGTGTGTGTGTGTGTGTGTGTGTGTGTGTGTGTGTGTGCGCGTTTATGTATGTATGTAAGAGAGAGATAAGAGAAGAGAAAAGATGTGTTCGTGTTTGTGTGTGTTTAGTGCTGTTTGGGGACCTGCTGTAGTAACGTACATAACCAAGTGAATAATTGAGCCTGGGGACACACAACCATGATGAATAATGTGGACAGGTGACATACGACCAGGTGAATAAGGCAACCAGGTGATATCTCGACCAGGTGAATAATGCAACCAGGTGAATAAGACCGCCAGGTGACCAGGTAATCAAGTAATTCATTCACGCTTTTGAGGCTTACCTGCCACGTGTCCTTGTGTCCCCAGTTGTGATTCGTCTTAATTATTTCCCTCGTCCGTCAGTCAGTCAGTCAGTCAGTGGTGTGTGTAAACTACCTCTTTTTTCTGTAATTTGGCCAATATGACTGAAGTTGAGTGTAAGGTTGAATTAAATTATAAGATACAAGTTTGTTTTATTTTCAGTTGTGTCGGTATATATATATTTTATCCGTTATATATGATAAGTTATACCGTATATAGTTTTGTTCTTCTGTTAGTATATACCTCTAACGTCTTATATTTATTTTACGCCTTTCATCCAATAATCCTTTGTTTTGTTTTTTATCTTGGAGTATTTTCTTGATTTCCTCCATCCCCTTTCATTCCCTCAATCCTCTTCTTTGTCTTTCCTTCCATTCCCTTTACCTCTCCCCATAATTATTGCGTCTTTGCTGACTTTCTTTCTCATCTTCTGCATCCATTATCCTCTTTTTTATTACCTCTCTGCTTCCTTCTTCTTTTTCTTTACCTATTCCCTTCTTCCTTCTGTCTCGTTATAATTAAATACTTTCACATACTTAGCGAGTGACGGGAAGTTAGCCATTATTTTTATTTTATTTATTTTTTCCTAGGATGTGTGTGTGTCGTGGTGTAGTTTATGGTGCGTGTGTTTACGAGGTGGGGGGCGTCAGGCCATAGTAACGCGTTCTGGCTGAGAAGGTGGCCGGCTGGGTCACCATTCTCAAAACACAGATTATATAACTCTCTCTCTCTCCTACTCAGTGGTAAAGTAGGTAAGGTAGAGTCATTGTGGTAACTTTGTCCTTCATTTGTTTCCCGGCTTCAGTGACGCTCTTTAATGTTTCCAGTTTATAGGAAAATTTTTGACTTTGGTGTATTAGAGAATCATGGGACTTGGCTGTCAAAGGTTTTATATGTTGATATTTTTACTCTCCTAACTGGATGTATCTTGTTAAGGTTGAGTTTTTTTGGGTAATGTTGATGCCATTGGGGACAAGAATTACTAGCTGGTAGTTAAGTGCATATTGTTTATCTCCATTAACGAGGACAAATAACCAAACAGCCTCATAAGAATCGTGATCCTGGTCATTTTGTGCTAGACCTAGATAATAAAACATTACGGCATTTGTTTTATTTCACTACGGATGACAAAACTCTCGTGGTTACATTACCTACATTACCGTTCATGTGTAATTTCAACTTCTTTCTGGTGTCCAGCCTGGAGTCGTAACTGAAGTGTGTCAGTTAGATGAGCTCTCCCACATTACCATTCGCGGTGTAATTTAACTTGGGAACATTTGAGGCTGTGGGTCCCGGTCATCATGGGCCAGATGGGTGAAAGTCTGCCAGTGTGAGTGATGTTATGTGGGCGGGCGTGATGTGTGGGAGCGACGGTGTAATATATTCTTTTTATTATCTCGTCTGTTTTGCATAAAAGTTGTAAAACTCTGTGGTAAAGTTGTCGCCAAATGACAGAAGAGTCGACAAAAAAACATAAAAAAAGAATGACAGGTGTGTGGAAAGTGGTTCTCCCCGGGATGAGTGTTGAGGCCGCAGCTGATGGTCACTTGGTGTGTGTTACGTGAAAAGTTTACAGATGACATCCTTTTTTTTCTTGTAATTTTGACAGATATTTGTGGTTATTTTTGTATTGGAGAGGATTTTGTTTTTCAATACGTCACAAACTGGTGCCGCAGGGTGTGAGAGAACTATCCACACAAATGCTCAAACATGAAGAGATTCACCAAGACAAATTAGAATCTAATAAAAAAATACATCATCAAAATGGACTTTTAGGAGACTGAGAACATTTGTTTTGTACTGCTAGAACTAAAAGTGAAAAGGATTTAGGGAGCCAAGAAGTTAATTTAATTTTAAACCTGTTGGATTGAGAAAGGTCTGCCTGAACCTGGTCTTGTTCAGTCTCCTTACAAAAGATCGATATATTTAGGTTTCGGAAACTCGCATTGGTGATAATTATACCTAGTAGTGCTTCATTAACTGTTCCTGTACTGTCAATATTCACCTCTGTGGCAGGACATGTACCCTGAACCGTTGTTATTACTGCGGTATTGCGGTAAGCCTTGTACTGTGTGTTTTGCTCTCTGACCTATCCCATGAACTTTGACCTTTCCTCCCGTTCACACACTCCAGGCAGATGGTACAATGTCTGACTAGCCTTATAACAGGCGATTAACCCTGACAATAAATCTAAGCTATTGACCTCTTTGACCCTTAATCCCCGTGTCTATCCCTTTGACTATTAAGCCCTTGTCAAGCGCGATGACCTTTAACCCCTACCCATCCCTTCGGCTCTTGAACCTCCTGCCCTAACCCTGTTCACTGTACAGGATGAAAACAAGGATACGCTATTACCCCCCCCCCCACACTTCCATAAAAAAAAGATATGACGTCACTTCCTGTGTCCCTCCTCCTCTTACCTCCTATCCTGTATTGTGAATAGTCAGGCTCAGTGGATGGGGGATAGATGGGTGGATTGGTCTGGGATACATATAGGTTGGTGGATTGTGGTTGATTTAGATAGCTACAACCTGTTAGATCATGGTTGGAATGGACTGGAACTCTCTCTAACTGTGTATGTAATGGGAGGGGAGGTTACAGTCCGGTGGTTAGTGGCTGGAATAGATGTAGTTTGGTGGTTAGTGGTTGAGATAGAGCCTTATGGATTGTAACTGTACAATAGCAGGGATAGATATGGTCTTATGCTTAGTGGTTAGAATCGACTAACCAAGGGAATAATAATAAGAGTGATAATAATAATAATAAAAATAAATGTAAAATTACACAAATAAGATGAATTGTTTCTCTCGTGTAAGAAATAACGTAGAGAGAATAAACAGGTGAAGTATTTTTTATAAATATTTTTATTTTTTTATGTGAGCTTCGGTTGGAAAGGTGGAAAAAATAAGTAAATTTTTTCCCCCTGTACAGTGGGTGAGGAAGTGCTGGCTAAAATGAACCGGCGGTGAATAAATGTTGTGTTAGAGTTACAGCAGATATTTTACTATGAATTGTGTGTGTGTGTGAGAGAGAGAGAGAGAGAGAGAGAGAGAGAGAGAGAGAGAGTAAACTAAACCTTCACTAAAGAATGTGAGCCAGTTTGTGGTGTGGTGGTGGTGTTCAGATATATATTGAGGCAGGGAGGAAGCTGGGTTAAAATGGCCTTAGGGAAGGGAGAAACAAGGCTACTATGACCACAGGGGCGAGCGTTGGTTGCCTCCCGTCCTTTGCTCTCCCTCGTACGCCTAAATCAACACACATAGGTAGGGATCTCAAGACGAAGGCACAGGTAGGGGGGAAACCTATAGGCTTAACCCACATCATAGGGGGGGGGAGGAGTTAAACCTGGAGGAAAGTTGTTGAATGGCGTGAGAGGGAAATTATACCCGGCAAGAGAAGGCCCTAGACTCGCTCACTAACCCCTAGACTCACTTACTTACTCACTCACTCACTCCTAGACTCACTCACTCACTCCTAGACTCACTCACTCACTCCTAGACTCACTCACTCACCCCTAGACTCACTCACTCACTCCTAGACTCACTCACTCACTCCTAGACTCACTCACTCACTCCTAGACTCACTCACTCACTCCTAGACTCACTCACTCACTCCTAGACTCACTCACTCACTCCTAGACTCACTCACTCACTCCTAGACTCACTCACTCACTCACTCCTAGACTCACTCACTCACTCCTAGACTCACTCACTCGCTCTATCTGTCTGTCTCATTCTCTATCTAGCCTTAGCATCACTGAAAAATTTATACCTAGTCTTTACCAGATGTGTCCCCACCCTAGCAAGAGTCCTCCCCAAGGGTAGTTCCAGGTCGTATACTTGATAAATAATTAATAAACCAGAAGCAGCGCCGGGCTCTTGTGTTGTCTCTTGCTGGTTACTCTATAACTTTTTTTTCTCTTGCTGATGTTTGTCGAGTTATTGTGTGTCTTGTTTGTTTCCGTCGATTTATTGTGTCTCTTGTTTGCTTCCGGCGATTTATTGTGTGTCTTGTTTGTTTCCGTCGATTTATTGTGTGTCTTGTTTGTTTCCGTCGATTTATTGTGTGTCTTGTTTGTTTCCGTCGATTTATTATGTTTTAGTTTGTTTCCGTCGATTTATTGTGTGTCTCGTTTGTTTCCGTCGATTTATTGTGCGTCTCGTTTGTTTCCGTCGATTTATTCTGTCTCTTGCTTGTTTCCGTCGATTTATTGTGTGTCTTGTTTGTTTCCGTCGATTTATTGTGTGTCTTGTTTGTTTCCGTCGATTTATTGTGTGTCTTGTTTGTTTCCGTCGATTTATTGTGTGTCTTGTTTATTTCCGGTTATATATTTTCTTGTTTCAGTGAGAGAAGATGTTGTTAAGTCGATTTATTTCTTATTTTTTCCTGCAGGAGGCCGAGGATATCTCTTTCTCTTGCTTGTGTTCGTAAAGGTTTATACTCTGTCTCTTGTTAGTGTTGAGCCATTTATTATGTCTCCTGTGGGTGGTGGCGGAGGTCTTTGTGTCGTCTACCTGAACAGTAAGCTGGTAGGTAGGGGTTTATTTTATCTTCTAAATACTGTATATTCACGTCTTTAGCGGTTGTTTATTTTTTCTTTCTCCTCTTTAAGTCTTCCTTCTCTTCTTTCTCCTGGTGAGTGTCGGAGATTTATTCCCCTCTTAGCCATCTTCACCTCCTCTCCCTCCACCTCTTCCACCACCTCGCCCCCCCCTAGTTCCTCCTCTGTCTTTCCTCCTGTTCTTCGTCTCATTAGTTGTCTGAGATTTATTCCCCTCTCTGCCAACTCCTCCTCCTTCTTCCTCGTCTTCCGTCTTCTTCCTCCTCTTCTTCGTCTTGCTAGTTGTCGGAGATTTATTTATCGCCTCTTCCTTCTCCTGGTGGTGATTTCATTCCTCTCTGCTGATTATAGTTGAAGGAAATGTTTTTTTATAGTCTGTTCCCTTTTGCCCTTTGATTATTATTATTATTATTATTATTATTATTATTATTATTATTATTATTATTATTATTGTGGGGTCGTTAGCTTTCATTTTGAGAGCGAATGGGGTCGTTTCCTCTCTTACTAGCTGGCTGATGACGTAGAGAGAGAGAGAGAGTTGCGTGCACTTAGTTTTTGTGTACTGTACATTAAAACTAATTAACTTATGTGAGTTATCCCTCGAACAATGAAACCCCGTCATATTTTCTTTCATCTCTCTTCCCCCTTTCCTCCTCCTATTTTTCCTTATCCTCCTCCTCTCCCTAACTGTTAATGTTCCTCTTTTTTTTCAGTTTTTTTTTATTCTGCCTCCTGTTCTTTCACTTTTTATCTCCTCTCTCTTCCTTCTGTTCTCAGTATCATTTTTCTCTTTTCCTAATCTTTTTTTCTCTTCCTCCTCATTTTCTTCATCCTGTCATTCTCCCTTTCTCTTTTCTACTTCCTTCTTCTCCTCCTCCATTATGGTGCCTCCTTCTCCTCAACCCTCCCCCGTGACTGGTGGTGTGTGGTGGCGAGAGTGAGGAGGGACGGATGGTCAACGCAATTCACCTCCTCAGTGTCACACATACATCGTCTCTCCTCCCCCAGGCGCCTTTCCATCCGTGCCTGGTCAGGTGTACGGCACCAACCTACAAATTTTTCTCCTTTTTTTATACATGACTTCCCTTCACGAGGTCCCTAGCCGAGCCATTAAAGGCGAGGTGCTCTTAGTGGACGTTATGGCTCTTAAAGGGTTATTTCCATGGGGTCAAAGGTGCCAATATGTTATTATTTTTGGGGGAAGGAGATGTGTATACTCGTATATCCTCCCCCCCTCTTTCACCACACACACATACACACAGACATACACACCACAATAGTATAGTGTTACCTTTGAACCCCCTGAAAAGCAATGCCTTAAACCTGTAGTTGGATTGTGTGTTTTTTTTCCGTGGGGGTGTGGAGCCATTAAAGGACTGGTCCCTACTTAGTGAAACTCATGATTCTTGGACCCATTGTGGCCAGGGAACTTAATACCGGACATAAGTTTTATTTTTTTTCTTATACGCTTTGTTTGTAGTGTTGTCCTTGGCCTGATTTTGTGAAGTGTCTCCATATTCATTTTAAGGTCACTGAGTCAGATGTCAGTAGTAAGACACTTAGATGGGTATGATATTGTAGTGGTACTTTGCATCTAGGCAGAGGAGAATCCCTACTATGTTTGGGATCGGTGGTTCTTTCCTGAATCTCGCTGTAATTTTCATCTGACCTAAAGTAATATTGATGCATATAAATTAATGATACTCTTGCTAACCTTCCCGGGCCATTTAGCAGACACTGTGCTCTTACAAGTATTAATAATTTTTTTGTTCGCCAGGTTATTTTAATTTCATGACGCAGGAAGGTCCAGGATAATTTTTAACGGGTATCCTGTACCGAGTCATAGTAAAGGACTGGTGGCACCCGGGGTAAAATTCACGGTTTGTTTACAGTTCTTGTATTATAATAAGGAATCATCACCTTTGCTTCTTAGCCCCCCCTGATCGAAGCTCAGGGAGGCTTATTACCTCACCAAGCCGTCCCCATCTCACTTAGAGAGAAGTTTTAGATTGAGTAGTATCGAGTCTAGTTCCGGGCCTGAGATTAATGCTCAAGGCTTTACTAGACCAACAACATAACAGGTGAATTTTCCCACAAATTTGAGAGTTTTATTGTATTTTCCTTTATTTATATAGTGTGTTTAGTCCTTACTGTAACGTAGGAATTAATCCCTCCAGGAAAACAGGAAAGACTATACACTTTATCTTTTCTTATGCTCTCGTACCCTTGCCAAGCCATTAGAGTCCTGGAACTTTCGCCTAACTGATGACTCCTGGACCTGTTCACAAAGTACCTGAAAGTTATATTTATGTTTTTTATAGCTACTGCGGAGGGCCGACCTTTTTACACGCAGGGTCCTTTGTTGGGACGGTAAAGGCATGGTACCGGATTGAGATTCATGAGTAAAGACATTTTTGTTTCACTTGTTTCCTATTTTTTTATTCTTTGTTTATATGTTTATTTATGTAATTGTTTTAGTAAACGTCATAGATTTTTAGACGTTCTATTCGGATTGGGTCCAAATTTTTTTGTGTGTATTATGATCGCTGCTGTGTTTGCCTGTCTGTCTGTCTCTGTGAATCATTTCGTTCGTTAATTTCGTAAGTTCATCAAGTAAGGAGTTTGCGTCTGACTGTGTTACCTTTTAACCATTGAACGGATTTTGTGAATAATTTACACAAAGATGAATGTTAATATGATGTGTGACGAAGCATTCTCCCAGGTATCCGTTATGACCCTCCCCCAGGTCACCAATATGAAGGTCAAACCATATTTTGGGGGTCATACGTCTTTGGTGATCATCCATCGGGTATACAGATTACCTTGTTGGCTTTGCGTACCTTTGCATCGTAGTTCTTGAACGCTTGACCTTTTCTGGTACATCAAGCATCCTCAAAGGGCATTGTGGGTTCCCTAAATGTTAGGTTATGAACGTAGATCGATTATTGTGGCCCCAAGAATAAGATAGAAAGGTGTGTTTTAGCGGGATATTGAGAAAAACGGAGGACGGACGAAAACACACGAACGACTACTGGGAAGAAGGAAGACCTGAGCTGCTGATTTTGTTGAAGTAATTTTTTGTTAGAAGTTTCCTCCTGAAAGCATTAACGTAGGATATTTTACGCATCGAGTATCTGGCAACACTTGACAGGGGATTATTAAACACTTAACAAAGGATTATTTGAACTTTATGTGTTAAGTGGTCGTATGATGGGCTCATGTTGGCACACTGATGTTTTTTTAGAAGTTTTGTGTATATAATGTGTATATATAGAAAGACCGTATTTAGTATGTCTTACCACCTAAAAATCAGCATCAGGCCGACTTTGATCACTTGAAGTTTCATTGAAGTTCATGGGAAATTTGGGTGATTGCAACATTTCAAGACTACATGATCTGAACTTGGAAAACAATTCTTAATTTTGTTGGTCTTACCTGTGTGCCTTTGTTTCTGTGTGTCTGATTTGTTCTGTGTTTATTTCAGCCTCAACTTATCTCTGGTTATACAGTATCTTACCTCTTATTAAACCATATGAAGACTAAATCTAACTCTCCAATTATAATATATGTTTATGTCGTGACTACAATGTCTGTGTAATTGAATGTATTTAAATATAATGTAGTTCATGTACTTTGTTGTTAGGAGATGTAAACCCTTATTAACGAGTTTTGTTTGTGTCTGTTTCAGAGGGCCATTTAGTCTGGTGCGACGGTGTGTACACAGAGAGACGGGACAGCAGTTCGCAGTTAAGATTGTCGATGTGGCAAAGTTTACCTCCGCTCCTGGCCTCTCCATCAACGGTGAGCACCTTGTAAACTGTTGGTATATTAAATTGTACAATAGTTTTAAAATAACTATCAATAAACTTTACTGTATATGATATTTTAGATCAGGATCCCAAACAGTGTATCGTTATAGAGAGTGATATACTGTCGCTGCCTCTTTTCCCGTGCTAATGAACTTGAGCTGTCATGACAATAACCTGGGTCTTCTCTCTAAGTCTTTTGTTGATGCCTGATTATATTATATGATACCAGTGTTGTTGTGAAGACTTACTGTATAATACAAAGTTAAGCCTCATAAGTGGGAATTTACACAGGCACTATAAAATAAATCCAGAAATACAATAAAGTATATAATATTATATTTCGATATCACCAACACGTATATTTTCAGAATGGAATTTTCCTTTCACTTTTGCTGGGAATTTGCAGAGTCCGCTTTCCAGGGCAGTTGTCATGATTCCGTGAGCTCTCGACGATTATTGAAAATCACCATCGAATATTTTTTAGTTGTAAGGGTAGTTGGGGTAGTTTGTTGATTATGATTGTTTTGTTTGACAGTGAAATTGAATACACTGTAATGTTTTGTTAGCTGACAGTATTTACTCAGTGACCTATACAGTATGTTTAACCTCGTTCATAGTGTGTTTGTGTATCAAGTTAGAGACGTTTAATCTGAGCCACTGTCCTCTTTGTAAATACTGTTAATTACTGTTGATGATGCGACTAAAGCATTTGTTTTATGTGGATAGGTCTTTCGGAGACACCTGCTGTTACCTGTCTAGTTTCTCACCATTAAACAACCTTAACCATGTCACCTAAACGATATAGCGTCTCATTCGTCTTCATTAACCACGTTGCCAAAACAGTGTAGGTAATAGTGTTTGATCTTATGAGCTAAACACACTATCCTCACTCTTATTAAATTGTTTTAAATCTGTCACAAACCACTTTAGCTTCTCGTTAAAGTGGTGTTTTACCCATTGGTCTTAACAATGACTGTCTCACCATTAAACTGTCTTAACAATGACTGTCTCACCATTAAACTGTCTTAACAATGACTGTCTCACCATTAAACTGTCTTAACAATGACTGTCTCACCATTAAACTGTCTTAACAATGACTGTCTCACCATTAAACTGTCTTAACAATGACTGTCTCACCATTAAACTGTCTTAACAATGACTGTCTCACCATTAAACTGTCTTAACAATGACTGCCTCACCATTAAACTGTCTTAACAATGACTGCTTCACCATTAACCTTCCTTAACAATGACTGGCTCACCATTAACCTTCCTTAACAGTGACTGCTTCACCATTAAACTGCCTTAACAATGACTGCTTCACCATTAACCTTCCTTAACAATGATTGCTTCACCATTAACCTTCCTTAACAATGACTGCTTCACCATTAACCTTCCTTAACAATGACTGCTTCACCATTAACCTTCCTTTACAATGACTGCTTCACCATTAACCTTCCTTAACAATGACTGCTTCACCATTAACCTTCCTTAACAATGACTGCCTCACCATTAACCTTCCTTAACAATGACTGCCTCATCATTAACCTTCCTTAACAATGACTGCCTCACCATTAACCGTCCTTAACAATGACTGCCTCACCATTAACCGTCCTTAACAATGACTGCCTCATCATTAACCGTCCTTAACAATGACTGCTTCACCATTAACCGTCCTTAACAATGACTGCCTCACCATTAACCGTCCTTAACAATGACTGCCTCATCATTAACCTTCCTTAACAATGACTGCCTCATCATTAACCTTCCTTAACAATGACTGCCTCACCATTAACCGTCCTTAACAATGACTGCCTCACCATTAACCGTCCTTAACAATGACTGCTTCACCACTAACCTTCCTTAACAATGACTGCCTCATCATTAACCTTCCTTAACAATGACTGCCTCACCATTAACCTTCCTTAACAATGACTGCCTCACCATTAACCGTCCTTAACAATGACTGCCTCATCATTAACCTTCCTTAACAATGACTGCCTCATCATTAACCTTCCTTAACAATGACTGCCTCACCATTAACCGTCCTTAACAATGACTGCCTCACCATTAACCGTCCTTAACAATGACTGCCTCATCATTAACCTTCCTTAACAATGACTGCCTCATCATTAACCTTCCTTAACAATGACTGCCTCACCATTAACCGTCCTTAACAATGACTGCTTCACCACTAAATTGCCTTAACCACGCCACCCAACCAGCCCAGGGGTGTCATAGTTAAGCTCCTGTAATCACCATCCCGTAATCCCTTCAGCTTAACCAGAGGCCCACCGAATATCCTCTCATGTAACACTCAGTATGTCCGGTATTTGTGCATCCGGCCACCGTATGTTGTGTATCAGGCCACCGTATGTTGACGGGGATTGCGCGGGTTGCCAAGGATTTGTTGTAGACGTCCGGGTAAACGATTAGCGGGCATCCGGTTATTGGGAAAGGTTGTATAGTACACAGTTATTAGGAGGAGTTTTGGGTTGTCCGGATGATGTGAAGGATATTTGGCCATCCGTTCAAAATGGTGAGACTTCCGGATAATGGATTTGTTTTTAGGACGTTCGGATATTATAAGGATTTTAGAACTGCTAGTTAATAGAATGAGTTTGTTGTCTGAATAATAGAATGAATAAAAAATCATCCGGGAACTTTAATGGATTTTAGGACGTCCTGATAATGGGGAGGATTATAGGCTGTTCGGGTATTGGAAAGGCTTGCTGAATGTCCGGTTATCAATATAGGCAAAAATTTACCTCACGCCTGAATTACCCATAATCATTCTATCATTTCAGAATTATTAAAAATCCAAGAAGGAATAAATCACTTAATAGGTCAGAGTGTTTTATTATACAGGGTAGTTCAGAGTCCGGTGAAGGATGATCTTAAACTTCCGGATGAAACTTACTGTATTAGACTTGAGGATTACAATTATTAGACGTAAAGATTAAAACTATTAGACTTGAAGATTAAAATTATTAGACTTGAAGATTAAAATTATTAGACTTCGTGATTAAATTTATTGACATTCTGGACAAAATTGAGAAAGTGGCGAGAAAGTGATCAAATTCGATTAATATTGATAATTAAGAACGATAATTCGAGAAAGAAATTATTAAGCATCTGGTAATTCCCCGGAAGGTGTGGAGATGACGTATAGGGTAGTAATTAAGGTGGAGTACCTCTTACACGGGGCTATTAACGCTCCATCAGGAAGAGAATTGAATATTTTTTATTTCTCGCTTCGTCTGCTCTCTCTCTCTCTCGTCAGTAGGATGGAGCAGTAAGTATTCAGATTAAACAAGTGATTTTTTTTTTTACTCCTCATGATTAATATACTATAATACCTATCTATTTTAAGCTGCTGGAAGGGTTTTAGTTCACCAGGAAGGACATATATGTATTTAGTATCATATTTTATTTTTATTTCAAGTGAAGTAAATTTCCAAATATCAGCGATAGTACTGTTGATGATCTGACCGGTGGTGGAAATTTATTGCATTGTAGATAACACTAACGTGGACGCTGTCATTGGGAGGAAGGTCATAATTTTCTTACATTTTAATTCCAGATGAGATATATCTGAGTTAAGTGTCGAGGTTTGGTTTTATTTCCCCGTTAAAATATTTTGGACGTTGTTTAGGAGGAAATTTAAAGTATAATGTTTTCAGTTATAGTCGACGATATTATTTGTTGTGTAGTGGGAGCTGGTGATAGTTTCTTGTGTGTTAGTTACGAGCGAAGGAAATATTGTTAACGAAATGAATCCTAATTTTACATGGATTACAAAAATATAACTTTATAACAAACCGCCATTTTAATATGAACATCCAATGACTATAGAGGCTGTAATAGTGATATTTAATTCAGTAATAAGATTGTTTACTCGTTAATATTGATGTTTATCCTGGAAATCTAATGTAAACATCGAGCTTCACGGCAAATATGTTTAATATCAAGAATTCAGGGATCAGTATTTAGAAGCATTATCATACATAATTAATCTTGTGAAATTAATATTAACTTTAGTAATATTAAAAAAAAATGTAAAGATTCTGTTTAATAATAAATGTGTCTTCGTGTTATGTGTTCCGGTATGGTTAGGTTAGGTTAGGTAGTAAGAGTGTCTGATCTTGGCTATATTTTGTCTATATTTCCTGTTTTATATTTAGTAACGCCACGTGACGGGGGGGGGGGGATATAACCCAGTAGTCAGTGAACGTGAAAATTCGTCAGGTCGGGAGGAGCTCGTCTAGGGACTTTGACCTTAACAAACTTTCTTTTTCGTTTTTTTTTATCATCGTTAAGGCGTTGACAAACAACCTCCAATCAGTTGACTCAGATGATGTTGGAGAAATAAACAGCTCGTCTTTAAACTTGGGCGACATAGTATTACTTGTGGACTGTGTAGAATATAATTAAAAAAAAAATAAAAATCACCCATCTATCAGGTCGACTTGGTTAGGGCAGTATACAGTATTGTTACTATACCAGTTTATAGTACAGTATATAGTTTGTATTGTACTGTATAGGTTCCAACATATCGATGTAATATAATTTTTCCCTGATTCCAAAATGACTACCTGGATTATCAACTGAGATCATAAGATTGATGGAAACATATTTACAGTAACAAGTTTTATTGTTCACTCACCATTGGTTCCGCTGCTGAAAACAATACAAACAACACAAACTACCAATCTATATCAGTGAGGTGGATAGGGTTGATTTACTACAACCAACTGCCCAATTAGGGTCTTGGTGGTGGATTGTGCCTACCCTACCCTACCCTACCCTACCCTACCCTACCCTACACCTACCTTATCTTCCTGTCATGGATTAAACTCATCAGCGGATTTTACTCATTAAACGTAAGAGTTCCGCAGGTATAAGGGTCCTCCAAGCTTCCCCTCCCCACCTCTCCCCTCGACTGACTCCCCCAATCTGTTGAGAACGACCATGCCACGTGATAGGCTGACAT